ATGGCAGTCAGGCGTCTCCTTGACACAGGGAGAAACTTTTAGTATTTAAGAATAAGTGGCCTCTGATTATGTTTCTCCCCTCAAGAGTCATTTTTACAGCTCTGTGGTAGGTGTGTGACTCTGTAAGGAAATACCTATTCTTACTTCACCTGTGAGAGATTCTTCTATTTCTTTTTCAAGACTTTTTTTTTTTTTTTTGGATTTATAGCAGTCAGGAGTTCAAAATGACCACTCTGGCTTTCTACTGATTCCAGATAAACATTTTCTTTGTTGTCTAATAGTCTGTTTAAAAGCCATGAAGTAAAACACAGCTGGTTCAATTCCAGCTGACTACCAACTTACCACAACCTCCAAGCAATGGATGTATGGTTTCGGCTGGTTCTTAGTTGCATAGTGGGCTGTTCTTAGTTCACCACTGGGCTGAAACCAAGCAAGGGGCACACCCACTTCTCTTTGGTTGTGAATGAGCAGTGACAGGCCTGCTCGAGTTCCCTGCCGTGAGAAAGCATGGTTAGAATGACAGCATGAGAGAAATGGGAAAAGGGAAGGAGGGGAGGGGCAGGAGAAAGGGGAAGAGAAAGAGAAGCAAAAGGAAGGGGAGAGAAGTGGCCCTCATCCAGCGGCCGTCCTGTTCTTTCACTCACTTATTTATTTAGCAATTTTACTTATTTTTAATTGGAGGATAATTGTTTGACAATATTGTGTTGGTTTCTGACATATATCAACATGAATCAGCCATATGTATACATACGGTTAGGGCTCCCTTTGTAGCTCAGATTGTAAACCATCTGCCTGCAATGCAAGAGACATGGGTTCGATCCCTGGGTCAGGAAGATTCCCTGGAGAAGGAAAGGGCAACCCACTCCAGCATTTCTCCTGGAGAATTTCATAGACAGTGGGACCTGGTGAGCTACAATCCACAGGGTCGCAAAGAATCAGATGTGACTGAGCGACTGACACACACATATACACATATACGGCAGAGCAGCAGTGGGGATACGATTATAGAGAATAGACTTGTGGACAGGGATTGTTGTTGTTCAGTTGTAAGTTGTATCTGACTCTTTGTGACCCCATAGACTGCAGTTCACCAGGTTTCCCTGTTCTTCACCATGTCCTGAAGTTTGCTCAAACTCATGTCCATTGAGTCAGTGATGCCATCCAACCATCTAATCCTCTGTCATCCCCTTCTCCTCCTGCCTTCAGTCTTTCCCAGCTTCAGGGTCTGTTCCAGGGAGTCAGTTCTTCACATTAGGTGGCCAAAGTATTGGGAGTTTCAGCTTCAGCATCAGTCATTACAACAGATATTCATGACTGATTTTCTTTAGGATTGACTGGTTTGACCTCAAGGGACTCTGAAGAGTCTTCTCCAACACCACAGTTCGAAAGCATCAATTCTTCAATGCTCAGCCTTCTTTGTGGTCCAACTCTCACATCTGTACATGACTACTGGAAAAACCATAGCTTTGACCAAACAGACCTTTGTTGGTAAAGTAACGTCTCTGCTTTTTAATACACTGTCGAGGTTTGTCATAGCTTTTCTTCCAAGCAGCAAGTGTCTTTTAATTTCATGGCTGCAGTCACTGTCCCCATGGATTTTGGAACCCAATAAAATAAAGTCTGTCTCTGTTTCCATTGTTTCCCCACCTATTTGCCATGAGGAGAGGGGACGGGATTCCATGACCTTAGTTTTTTGAAAAGATACTTCGGGGCATTTCTTATAAAGTTTACAATATAAAACAGTTTTAACTTGGTTAAAAACAATTGTCTAGTTTGTTGTCCTTTGTATTTAGGCAAGCATGATCTTGGATGAGTGAAAGCCCTGAAAGAACTCACCTGGGCAAACCGCGCCAGCCTCTTCTCACAATAAACCGCTTGCCGCACAGCCAAGGGGAACCATGAGTTGCCTCTGTTTGTCTCCTCTGCTCCATGCAGAGCTCCCTGCATGCAGATCCTAATGAGCAGCGAAGTTGTCCCAGGCCTGAGGTGGGAGGGACATCCAGGGTGACAGGGCTGAGACTCACACGGGCTAATTAGTGTGCAGCTAATTGACCTTTCCCAGTAATTGTATTCCTCGGCCTTTGGCAACCAGAGGGTGGGGGGCTTTCAGTATCTCTGTGTAGCATCACATCTTTGATCATAATGAAAACTAGCCGTAAGAAATGTGAAATAAATTCAAAGCATAAATCACAAAGTGCCAGTCTTTTCAAAGTCTTTATTTTTTTAAACGAAAGATCAAGTTGAACGAACAGTTTTTATTCTCATCCAATTAATATAAATTGGAGTTTGTGTTCATTCATCACTATGGAGGTGACCGAGAGCATGAGAGAGCGGAATCAGTGGGAATGATTTTTGGTTCTTCTGACTCCCACGGAATGCCCTAAGCTCATGCTGTCTTTAACCACATTATCTCATTGTTAGCAATAGCCATACAAAACATTTGTTAACCATTATGTTAAAAAAAAAAAACACACACCTTGAAATGCCTTCCTAAATAATTGCCTTTTTTTTCTTTGTTTGACATAGAAAATACACTACAGTTAAGTCCCCTGTTAAAGTTTGCTAGGAATAATACAGCACTTGAGGGTGGATAAGGGTGTTATACTTGTTACCAGTATTGTTACATTTTGTATGGGTGTTCTTTAAATTTCCCAAGATGAAGGAGAATGGCAGCAGTGGGGGGTTGTTGAGAGAGCAGGGTCCTTGCTCCTTGGGAGAAGGGACAGACCCATGAGCAACTGTTTCTACCTGGTAGATATTCTGAAACTGAGACTTGTTGGTCTAGCTTCTGTCTTAGCAAATTATCCGATGTCCAAATTTAATTCTACTGAGTTTTAAAGCCTTGATTACTGTAGCCTTATAGTATAGTCTGAAGTTAGGGAGCCCGATTTCTCCAGCTTCCTTTTTTTTCCCCCCGCAAGCTTGCTTTGGCTATTTGGGGTCTATTGTGCTTGCATACACAACGTACAATTGTTTGTTCTAGTTCTGTGAAAAATGCCATTGGTAATTTGATAGGCATTGTATTGAATCTGTAGGGCACTTTGGGTAGTGTAGTCATTTTCATAATATTGATTCTTCCAATCCAAGAACATGCTGTATCTCTCTATCTGTTTCTATTGCATTTGATTGCTTCTATCAGTATCTTATAGTTTTCTGAGTACAGGTCTTTGTCTTGTTAGGTAGCTTTATTCCTATGCATTTTATTCTTTTTGTTGTGATATTAAATAGGATTGTTTCCTTAATCTTTCTGATCTTTTGTTTTTAGTATATAGGATTGTGAGAGATTCCCATGAGTTAATTTTTTTTTTCTTTTGATTCTCATGGCTAAGACTATACTGGATAAAAGTGGCAAGAGCGGGCATCCTTGTTTTGTTCCTGGTTTTAGAGGAAACGCTTTTTCAAGCAAGAATGATGCTTGCTGTGGTTCATACAAATCCATATATAGTTGCAGAGCTTTTTTGTAGATGTTCACTGGTTTTAATTGTGAGATAGGATGAAACAGGGAAAGATCAGAATAGTGTTGGTAACGTCTCCTCTTGCTTCACTGGCCTGCTGGTGTGATTGCTAGGGATTTTGGAGTATTTGTGGGGTCTCCTGGAAAGAAGTATATTGTAAATTGTAGAGAAAATTGCCCTGTAATTGGTAATAACAAATTCTTTGTACTTTTTAAAACAGAAAGAGGGGGAAAAAAAAAACAGAAAAGGGTGCTAGTATTTAAATTTGGTAATGATAAGGGCATGTCCTTTCTGGTAAAACAGTTTTGAAACATATTACTTTTCTGTGTGCTTTGTATACAATGTGATACATTTTCTTTTTCCTGCTAGACTTCATGTCCCTTTGAACACCACTTCAGTCTTCATCTATTGTTGCATCCCATTAACGCCTACAGTTCGGTGTCTGGCCCCAGTTCTCCATGCCTGTGTAACACATACGTGTGTGCTTATCCTGATCAGTCACAGTTGTCACCGCCCTTTAGGTTCCTGGGGCTTCCCTGGTGGCTCAGATGGTTAAGAATCTCCCTCCGGTGCAGAAGACCCGGGTTCAGCATTCAGACCTGGGTCCGTAAGGTCCCTGGGAAAGGGAATGGCTACCCACTCCAGTGTTCTTGCTGGAGAATTCCATGGGCAGAGGGGCCTCAAGGGCTATAGTCCTTGGCGTTGCAAGAGCTGGACACGACTGAGCTCCAGGCTGCGTGCAGAAGGACGAGTGTTGGTAACGTCTCCTCTTGCTTCACTGGCCTGCTGGTGTGATTGCTAGGGATTTTGGAGTATTTGTGGGGTCTCCTGGAAAGAAGTATATTGTAAATTGTAGAGAAAATTGCCCTGTAATTGGTAATAACAAATTCTTTGTACTTTTTAAAACAGAAAGAGGGGGAAAAAAAAAAAAAACAGAAAAGTGTTCTAGTATTTAAATTTGGTAATGATAAGGGCATGTCCTTTCTGGTAAAACAGTTTTGAAACATATTACTTTTCTGTGTGCTTATGTATACAATGTGATACTTTTTTTTTCCCTGCTAGACTTCACGTCAGTTTGAACACCACTTCAGTCTTCATCTATTGTTGCATTCCATTAACCCCTACAGTTCGGTGTCTGGCCCCAGTTCTCATGCCTGTGTAACGCATACGTGTGTGCTTATCCTGATCAGTCACAGTTGTCACTGCCCTTTAGGTTCCTGGGGCTTCCCTGGCGGCTCAGATGGTTAAGAATCTCCCTCCAGTGCAGAAGACCCAGGTTCAGCATTCAGACCTGGGTCCGTAAGGTCCCTGGGAAAGGGAATGGCTACCCACTCCAGTGTTCTTGCTGGAGAATTCCATGGGCAGAGGGGCCTCAAGGGCTATAGTCCTTGGCGTTGCAAGAGCTGGACACGACTGAGCTCCAGGCTGCGTGCAGAAGGACGTAACCCTCTGTCTTTGGCACTCTGTAGAACTGAAGGCGGGTTCAGCTCCACCTGCGGTGTGACGCCTGCTCATTCTGGTTGTGATTCTGTCTCCCTCACACAGAGCTGTGACCTGGACCAGCAGAGCATCGTTCACATTGTGCTGAGACCCCGGAGAAAAGGCCCAGAGGGGCACACACCTCGGGGGCGCTCCGACAGGGAGCCCCAGAGCCTGACTCGCGTGGACCTCAGCAGCTCGGTGCTGCCGGCCGACTCGGTGGGCCTGGCTGTTATCCTGCAGGACGGCGAGGAGAGCGGCGCCTCGTCAGCCCCCGGGCCAGGTAACTGGGGTGACTGTCTGCGGCCGGTGCAGGGTTCTGGGTGGTGAAGTCTCTGCAGAGAATGGCCTCACTCTGTGTGTGAATACGTAGATCACAACGCGTTCTAAATCACTGGACAGAGGCAGGACTGGGAGAGTGACACTTTTAACAAGTACCGCAAAGCAGAGCTTTCCAATTAAGAATGAACATAAAGGATGACAAAGTGTCAGGACCGTAGTGATAGTACTTGTCTGTCTGTCTGGAGGTTCTAGGGGCGATGGGGTCATGGGATACATTGTACTGGGCTCAAAATATATGTACCGATATGTCCCTCTCCACGTTTGCCTTTCTTTTTTCTTCTGCTTTTGTTTACTTAAAATACATTTTGATTGATTATGTTTCTGATGAAATAGATAAATTTTTTTTAAAGTAGAAAGAGAACATCAGAGGTAACTTTAGTCATTTTTCAGGTCATAAGAAAAAATGACAATGTCAATCATATCCCTTTGTGTAAAAGAAGTTTTCCTTGTCTCTGTTGTGCAGCCTATTTCAAAAGTTTGCTTTGGCAAGAATGACAATCTCTTTATTATTCTGACAATATTCTCTGTTTCCCTTAGTCTTTGGTTCTCCAGTCTGAATAGTCGAAGGTATAACAGGACTGTTTTTGAACAGGTGACAGGAAACATGAAATAATGACTTTAGAAGGTAGCTGTTTATTTCTCCCCCACATAGAGTGTCTGAAGACATCAGCTGCTCCGGGCTGGTATGACTTTCACAGTGTCAGAGACGTCTGGAACCAGCAAGATGGAGGCCTCTTGCTGGAATTACTAAGTAAAATTTAATAAATATTTATAAAATCATAAATCAGATTTAATAAAAAAAACAGAAGACTTTCCAGGGTGAGTGAAGAAGTGGAGAAAGCGCAGCTGTCTTTGAGTGGAGGAATGCGTAGACCTAGGATTTAAGCGCGTGAGCCGTCGTCCCGCTGATCCTGAGGTGGCTGTGCTGGGCTCTCCTTCCTTCCCATGGACTGGGCGTCAAGGAGACTGAAAAAACAAGTGGGGGATGAGGGAAAATGAGCACAGTCTAAACCTCTGCAGTGCGCTTGGTGTCCAGAATGAGGAACTAATGTAAAAACCAGACCCAAGCTTTGGGACCTCTGATGTTCCCAGCAGGGTGTAGACAAAAACATTCCCGAGAGGGCTCGGTGGGCGTGGCACTGACAGCTCCTGAGATATCAAGCTCTGCTGAAGGAGTCCTCACGATACACATTATAAATCAAACAAAGGAATACTTTACCCTGAGTGGAGGAGCACATATAAGGTAAACCAGAACATTGGTTCCCCAGAAAACGTGAGAAAATAAAAGGACAGTTTGACATAGAATACAATACAGGTATGTTTTATGTTAATTAAGACAGAAAATTTTTTAAAAATGGAAATCAAACAAAAAACAAACCTAATAGAAAAAGGTAGCTATTGAGTAGAATATAAATTTAACTACTAGAATTAAAAAGAAAAAAATCCTCAGCAGATTACTAAAAAGAGCAATTTATCAATGCCAAAGAAAGAATTAATGAATTGAAAGGTATATATGAAGGAATTGCCCATAGTGTGACACAGGTTAACGTGTTTACCAAAAAAAGTTCTTAGAGATGAAGAGTTTGGAATTAGATTTCCAAACATATCTGATAGGAACTCTTTTTTTTCCCCCTTTCTTTTTTCTTTCATAAATTATGAATGTATGATGATACATTTATAGGAGACTTGAAAAATAAAGAACAAAGTTGCATATAGTTTCACTATATATTACAATTATTTTTTCAAGTAGATAAGATTTTTAGTTTGAGTTTGAATATCAATATCAAACTCCTCCAAACTGAGATAATGAATAGAAAAGTAGAAGGCTGTAGTAGAACTGAAAATCACTACAAACCAATTCAAAATCTTTAGATGAAAATTAAACCTTTACATGCATTACTTGAACATTAATAATAATATAAGTAGAATAATTATCATTTGTAAGTATTCAGATACTTTAGTATTTCCTAATGTATGTGACTCTACTATCTGGTCACTGGTTATTTATCTGAAGATTTTAGAAGTTCAATCTTGTTAGTTTATTTTATTATAAAATTGCCTTCAGTCTTCTTGAGAGTTTTATTTTATGATGAATAACTTTGTAATTATTGACACTTTCTGTTGGTTCTCGCTGTAGATCATAATACTTCTAGTGAAGAAAATATTCTCTTTCTATCATGACATTTATACTATAGAAAATTCAGGTATACTCAGGAGATTCTTCTAGATGTCTAATAGTCTACTGATATTTTAAGTGAAGTGTGTAATCATTTCAACCAACACAGTCAGTCCAGGAAACTGGTGTAAATTTACACTGTACAGTACCAGTGTAAGAAGGGCCAGCAGCCTCCTGACTGGGTCTGGTTACTGACTTTTTAACCTTGACTTGCCGCACGGCCCTCATGTAATCTGACCTCTCTTCACCCTGTTTCTCATTTACCCACTGACCAGTGGTGATCTGTTAGCTGCATGTCTTTTGCTGGCCGGGAATGCCCTTGGCACCCCTTGCTGGCAAGCCAGTTAGCCAGCGTCCTGTTTCTTCCTGCATCACCCCAGCTCAGGAGTGAGCTCTCCCAACACCTTTCCTGTGCTGTAGGGGAGGCGAAATTTATTTTGCATGTGGTAAGGAACAGGCAGAATAAGGGGGGGTTGTCCAGGTCAAATTAAGGACTTTATCTGCATCAAGCTGAAAACTTTCAACTGCAAGGCGTGATCCCTTAAGCTCTAAAGTGGAGTCATCTCCTTTTCGGATGCTCATTCCTCTCATTGTTTTCTGTTTTGCACTCTAGTCCCTTAATGTGTGTCTCTGTGAGGCCAGGGTCAGATCAGTCCAGTTGCTCAATAGCAACTGATTCTTTGTGACCCCATGGACTGCAGCACGCCAGGCCTCCCTGTCCATCACTAACTCCCGGAGCTTGCTCAAACTCATGTAGGTTGAGTCAGTGATGCCGTCCTACCGTCTCATCCTCTGCCGTCCCCTTCTCCCCCGGCAAACTGACAATGTCTAGTGAGAATGTTTGCTCAACGCTTATTCCAGAGTCAGTTAGGCAAGAGCAGAGACTCAGAAACCCTCGCGCTGCCCTTACGCTGAGTAGGGCTGCACTGTAGCAAATGTTTCCTGACCTTTCAGCTGGGAGTCCTACCTAGAGTCTTCAACCAGCTGGGGAAAAGGTCGGGAAAGACAGGTGGACAAATCATGTCAACCCAGAGTAAGCAGGTGAGTCTCATAATTACCAGTTTTATATGTGAAGCATCTCCAGTGTATTTCCTTTGGAGAAAAAGAAGAGAGAAAATATCTGGGTTTAAAGTGTGTGAAAAACCCTCCGCCTAGAAAAAAAAAGAAAAAAAAAAAAAAAAAGCAGCTTTCTGCTCATTTCCAGGGGGGTTGAATTAGGCAAGGAAGAAATGAGGTGCCCACCAAACGTGAGAGGGCCCCAAAGGGTGGAGAATTGGGCTGCAGCCACAAAAGTCGATGCAACAAATAAGAACTGCAACTTGAGCACGTCTTTATAGGTGAAAAAGATAACTGGTCATTGTTGCTGGTGTGATGTAGCATGGTAGGGCCACTCTGGAAGCTGGTTTGACAGATTCTCACTAAACAAATAACCGACCACGAAGTTCAGCCATTGTGCTCCATGGTGTCTACTCAGGTGGGTTGAAAACATGGGTTCACACAATTAGCTGCCCATGGATGTTTATAGCAGCTTTATTCATAATTGCCCAAATTTGGTAGCAACCAAGATATTCTTATACAAGTAAGTAAAGTGTGGAATATTAAGAAACTATTATTTAGTGCTAAAAAGTTTCCCGGATGGTTCAGATGGTAAAGAATCTTCCTGCAATGAGGAAACCCGGGTTCTGATCCCTGAGTCTGGAAGAACACCTCGAGGAGGAAATGGCAACCCTCTCCAGTGTTCTTGCCGGCGAAGCCTAGGAACAGAGGAGCCTGGTGCGCTACAAGCTATCAAGCCATGGAAAGACATGGAGGAGTCTTAAGTGCATATTACTAAGTGAGCGAAATGAAACTGAGAAGCCTAATATTATATGATTCCAACCCTTTCACTTGATGGAAAAGAGAACAGTATAGTGACAATGAAAACCAGAAGTTGTCAGGGCGTTTTGGTGGGAGGGATGAATAGTCAGAGTACAAAGAAATTTTTAGGACACAGTACCTATTCTGTATGATAAAATGGTGGATACCGTATCACTATAAAACCCATAGAATATGAAACACTAAGAGTGAACACTAAGAGTCCACTAAATGTTGGACTTTGAATCATAATGGTGTGTCAATGTACATTGATTAGTTGTAATAAATGCCCTGCTGTGGTGAAGGATGTTGAGGGTAAGGCAAGCTGGTGTGTGTGGGGAGGGGGGTGTATGATAATTCTCTTTTTGGTGTGTTTTTTGATCAGTCTAGCTGGGAACCTGGGCTTCCCATGTGGTGCTCGTGGTAAAGAATCCACCTGCCGATGGAGGAGACACAAGAGATGTGGGTTTGATGTCCCTGGAGCAAGACATGGCAGCCCGCTCCATAATTCTTGCCTGGAAAATTCCATGCCTAGGAGCCTGGCAGGCTATGGTCCATGGGGCTGCAAAGAGTTGGACAAGACAGGGCGACAGAGCGTAGAACATGTCAACACAGCTGTGAACCTCAAATTGCTCTAAGAAATGTAGTTTATTAAAAGTAATTTAAATAGTTTTTAAGACTTGAGCCTTGGACCCATACTATAGATACATCATGGTTATTAGAAAATATGTTCTGATCAGTAATTTTTTTTTGCCAGTGGTTGAATGTTGTACAAGATGAAAATTATTCTCAGATTGTGAGTTAGTTAGGAGCTGTCACATACAAATCAATTAGAGAAAACTCCTAATGAATTAAAGTAATAAAGTTCAGACCTAATTCTTGTTTTATCCAAAAGTCAAGTCTCATATACT